CTTGACAAGATCGGGAACTGACACCATGGATCTTTGTTCTCGGTTTAGTTTTGAAATATTTACTCAATATTGAAAATAATATAATATTTTTTAAACAAAAAAATTAAGGGTTTTTTTTTTTGTCAAATTAAATTTTAAAATATGTATGTTCTATAAATTTTTAAAAATTAACCCTCGAAATTAAAATTTTAATTTAATTATATTTTTGTTGTTATTATTATTAATTTTTTTTGAGGCAACCAATGTTGTTAATTACGGGATTAGGTGGAGTTAGCAGAGAAGCTTCCACACATACAAGCGCTATGCATCCACGAGATGGTAATTCGAGCCTTCAAGCATGTAATCAACGCCGTCATTGCCGCCGTGGAGAGCACCGCGGATCTATCTGCGGCCGTGGCCTCCTCTCTGAACTTCCTTCTCGGAAGCTACGGATCAGAAGACGAGGAGAACAACCTACACGAAGACGGAGCTCTGAGACTGCAATGGCTACGCACATTCTTAGGCAAGAGATTCAAGTGGAGGTTGAGTAACGAGTTCCAGCATTTGAGAAAGCTGTCGATTCTTCGAGGCATCTGCCATAAGGTAGGGCTGGAATTGGCGCCGAGAGATTTCGATTTGGAGTGCCCTAATCCGTTCAAGAGAAGTGACGTGATTAGCTTGGTTCCTGTTTGTAAGGTCAGAGTCTTGAATCTCTGGATTTGCGTCTTGGAATCGTGTGATTTTGATTATGAATCCGTGACTGAATTTGTGGTTGTTTGTTGTTTGTTGTTGATTCTGTGCATAGCATGTGGGATGCGCTTCGGCGGATGGGCGGAATCTGTTGGAATCGTCGAAAGTTGCTCTCGATAAAGGCAAGCTCGATGACGCTGTCAATTATGGAACTAAGGTATTTTCTTTTTCTTTTTCTTTTTCTTATTCTTAATTTATTCTTTATTATTTTTTTCTCAAATAAAATTATAACTTTTAATCTTTAAAAACATTCTTTTTATTTAGAAAAATAAATGATAAATAAAAACAATCTACGCTACACCTCATTAATATATCATTTTTTTAAGATTATATTTATTTCCAAATTATTTGACTTTTTAAATTTAATTTATTCTCTAAAATTTAAAGTTTATGAAATTAATTATTAATAGGAAATATTTGATAATATATCTAAAAAATTATTTACCATGGTAACTGTCTAAGCTTACCACTAACCGATTTTGTTTTCTCTGAGTTTTTTCTTTCGAGATTACCCTCAATATTTTTAAAACGCTAAAACGCATCTGCTAGGTAGAGATTTCCACGTCGTTATGAAGAGTTATTCGTTTTTTCTTCCCAATCGACGTGGGATCTCACAATCCACCTCCTTCGGGGCCAGTATCCTTATTGACATTCGTTCCCTTCTCTAATCGATGCGGGACCCCCAAATCCATCCCCTTTGGGGCCAAATGTCCTTGCTGGCACACCACCTCGTGTCCACCCCCTTTGGAGCTTAGCCTCTTTGCTGGCACATCGCCCGGAGTCGGGCTCTGATACCGTTTGTGACAGTTTGAGCCCAACGTTAGCAGATATTGTCCTCTTTGATCTTTCCCTCAAAGTTTTTAAAATGCGTTTGCTAGGGAGATGTTTCCACACCCTTATAAAAAAATGCTTCGTTTTCTTCTCAACCAACGTGGAATCTCACACTCATACTTCCTCAAAAAAGTCGTTCTACCCACATTAATTATTTAAAATTTATAATATCTTTAAAAGTTTAGTTTTTACACTTAAATTTTAAAATTTCTTCTAAAAAATACTCTTTTAATTTTGAATTATTCTAGAAAATATATTTTTATTAAAATAAAAATAGAATCTTAGCTATATAGTATTATTTATTACTATATTAAAGATTACTAGATATCATTAAAATTATTTGTATAATTAGGGAATTTGTGGTCCATTGCTATGTATTGACTAAGCTTATGTTTGGTGAAGGCATTGACTAAAATGATAGCCGTATGCGGTCCGTACCATCGAAGCACTGCAAGTGCTTATAGTCTTCTAGCCGTAGTCCTCTATCACACCGGTGACTTCAATCAGGTAATAGTTCAATCCAATAAATTCATTCAGCTCAAGAATTTGGGTATGTTATAAAAAGACTGGTTGCACAACTTTTGAAATGTTGGGTGGCGTTCTTTTGTTTTTACAGGCAACAATATATCAACAAAAAGCTTTGGATATCAATGAGAGGGAGCTCGGGCTCGATCATCCCGACACGATGAAGAGCTACGGAGACCTTTCTGTTTTCTACTATCGCCTTCAACACATCGAATTAGCTCTTAAGTAAGTTCTTCCAAAGCATGTTATTATATGAACACTGAAATTGGTGTGTTATTTTGTTTCGTTATTAAAGTAGTGCAAAAGTTTAGGGGTTAAATAAACACGTTCTTGTACTTGGTTCTTTAGATATGTGAACCGGGCGTTGTTCCTTCTCCATTTCACGTGTGGATTGTCTCACCCCAACACTGCTGCAACATACATTAATGTTGCAATGATGGAAGAAGGTGTGGGAAATGTTCATGTTGCTCTTAGATATTTGCATGAAGCTCTTAAGTGCAACCAGAGGCTACTTGGAGCTGATCACATACAGGTACCTCTCTCTCATTCTTGTTCCATCAATAGGTTGGTGAATACGCTGACCATTCATTCCCCACATCGGTTGGGGAGGAGAACGAAGCATCATTTATAAGGGTGTGGGAACCTCTCCCTACAGACATGTTTTTAAAAACCTTGAGGGAAAGCCCAAAAGGGAAAGTTCAAAAGGGACAATATCTGCTAGTCGTGGGTTGCTAGCCGTGGGTTGGGTTGTTATATTCAGACAGACGAATATTAATGATTTTTCTCATGAATGGTCATTTTCACTTTATAGACTGCTGCAAGCTACCATGCCATTGCCATTGCTCTTTCCTTAATGGAAGCGTATTCGCTGAGCGTGCAACATGAACAAACCACACTCAATATACTCAAAGTCAAACTTGGAGATGAAGATATTCGCACTCAGGTTGGACAATTTACTCTATGCAATGTAACTTAATCATATTTATGAGAGAAAGAGACTGTTTGCCTTCAAATTTGAATGAACATGATCTGGTCTTGGACAGGATGCGGCTGCGTGGCTGGAATACTTTGAGTCGAAAGCTCTGGAGCAGCAAGAAGCAGCACGTAATGGAACTCCGAAACCCGATGCACTAATTTCGAGCAAAGGCCACCTTAGGTATTGACATGGTATTCCCATATTACTTTCTTCCAAAATATATGTTGAATTTCTTCGCATCAAAGCTTTTGACTTTTTGTTGCAGTGTATCAGATCTCCTGGATTACATAAGTCCCGATCAAGATCCGAAAGGAAATGATACACAAAGGAAACATCGACGCGCTAAGGTAAGCATGTTTCATTTATCAATGACATGATTTTTCTCTACTTTACACGAATGCCATTGCATTCACTCTAGAGTTTGATCGTTTAGAATGTTGTTTTGTGAGATCCCACATCGATTACAAAGCATTCTTTATAAGGGTGTGAAAACCTCTTTCTAATGTACGCATTTTAAAAGCCTTGAGTTGAGGGGAAGCCTGAAAGGGAAAACCCAAATAAGATAATTTCTGCTAGCGGTGGGCTTGAGCTGGGTTTGTTACATGTTCTTCTCGTGTCTCATGATGCCTTAATGTTGTCAGGTAGTGAATACAAGTGATAAAACTCATCAGGGGCATCAAAATGAAATGGCTGAGGATGAGTCGAACATTGAAAGCCCAAAACCAGGGACTGAGTCATCAGATGATAATGTAAAGGAAGTTAAAATCAGCAAACTTTTACGTGTAGAACAAAAGGAAGTAGTTGAAAACATCACTGAGAATAAGACAGTGGTTAAAAGTGAAACCGTGGAAGAAACTTATTCAGATGATGGGTGGCAAGAGGCTCATTCAAAAGGGCGGTCAGGGCATGTTGTCGGCCGGAAGGTTGGCCGGAGACGACCGGTTCTTCCAAAGCTAAATGTTCACCAGTCTGAATATTCTAAGAGTACTTACAAGCAGGAAACTCTCTCTCCAGTGCAGAGACCAGCAGCTGCTAAGACCATTCAAAGTGGATTTTCACAGTTAAAGCAATCAATCCCTCAAAGATCAAGTGCAGGCGATGATTCGATCAAGCTGCAGTCAAAGACAACTGCTTCCAAGGTCATCTCGCCGTCTCCTGCTTCAGTTTCTCAAATGGCTTCAAGATCCATATCTTACAAAGAAGTAGCTTTGGCCCCTCCTGGTACTGTTCTAAGGCAATTGGTTGATACAGAAAATGTTAATGAATCAGAGGAGAAAGTAACTGAACCCCAGAACCTTGATCATTCAGAAATGTCAAAAAATGATGGAACCAACAATGTTTCTGATGAAGTAATTCAAAAGGATGTAGCGGAACCGATTCATAATCCTGCTCCGGAATCCGAAAATCAAAGTGAAGATAGTGAAGGGATGATATCCTGTTCATCTCCTTTGGAAAAGCCTGCAGAAACAAATGCTAGCAAGCTTTCCGCTGCAGCGGAACCGTTCAATCCTGGTACTTCTATGACTACTGGTTTAAACTCGGCTCCAGCCACTAGCATATATGATGTAAGAGCAAGCCAAGGTGCTCTAGAGCCTATGCTTCCTCCAGCAACTACTAGAGTCCCTTGTGGACCTCGATCGCCTCTATATTACCGAACCAACAACTCTTTTCGGATGAAACGTGGTTTTATGAAATACCAAGCTCCTGTCATGGGAAGAAGTGGATTTGGAGCTGCAACAATGATGAATCCACACGCCCCTGAATTTGTCCCTCAAAGAGCATGGCAAACAAACCATGGAGATTCAAGTAGCAATGTCCATACCGAATCGAATTCTAAGCTCTCAACGTTTCTTATTCATTAAACAAGAGCAAACTTCCCGACTTCCGCTCTTCAACAATTTTGCCATGAAGGGTATGGATTCATACTAAAAGAAATCACTGGTAATAATAACACCATGTGTAATAGAACAGAGAGAAGTTAAGAAGAAACAGAATGGTTTCTGTTCATACAATTGGAAGAAGAAGAAGAAGAAGGAGGAGAAGAAAGAGGAAACAATGGCAGAAGGTGAGGCGGGTCGGATCCTCTGGGAGTCCGAATCGGATTCGGGTGCAAATAAAACCCTTTTTCCGCAATCGCTTTCTCTTCCTCTTCACACGGACTCTCACCGGTCAGAAAATCCAACGTGGACACCGGCGACACCATTTCTCTTCCGACCCCTCTTTCTCCGGCTTCCAGCTCCACCTCCAGCTTCTTGCTACTCCGCCGTTCTTGCAGCCGGAACGCCGCCGGTGGGTCGGTGGGTGCTCCGGTCAGCTTCTGGACGATGGCTCGGAATGTTGATGGGTCGGCTTGGACGAACATGGTGGTGGTGGTCCGGATGACGACGGCGTTGGTGGCGTTGGTGGCGTTGGTGGCCATGGTGAAGGCAGGGGAGAAGAATGGGATATGATTATTGGGTGAAGAAGAAAGTTATTTATTATGAGAAGAAAAGTCATATTTGATGAATTGGGAATATGATCTTGCAATGAAATTTCTTCAATCAAATGGTTCCATTACAAGTCAATGAGCTAATTAAACCATTCGGTTTCATTTGGTTTCTCGTTCCGTTCGCTTTAACTCCCACTTTTCGAAATTCAAAATCATTATTCAAATATCGTCCATTAAAGAAGTCAAACGTTCAAATCGTCCACTCTACTTTATCGTTGAACTAAGAAAACACATTTATCGTCAACATAGTTCATCAGCTAAGACATGTACTCGTTTTCTTGATTCGGTTATAGCTCATATTTCGTGCTTATTTTATCATACTAGAAGAAAAAGGGACGCTCGTAACCTTATTGATCTAGAAACCGATCCTTAGTAAATTGTTTTGAAATTTATGTTTTGTCCTTCTAAGAAATGACGAGTGGAAGCAAAAGTTCAAAAAGTCTTAGGAGATAGTGACTCGAGAAAAATCATTGAGTTCACTTCAGAACATATTATGATGTAAAATGCAAGAAGATTTCCTTTGCTTTACACTATTTTTTGGCCTTTGAAATTTGCTTTCCTTTTATTTCCTTTTGTTGTCTTCTCTCTCACAATTATTGTAGTTTTTTTTTTTCTTTTTTTCTTTCTTTCTTATTAAATTATATTCTAATCAGTCTTATATAACTTTAAAAAGTTCGATAATTACTAATAATATAATATATATTTATTAATTTTGTGACAAAATATTAACGGAGTGGTCGGTATTTACTATTAAATAATACGAAAAATTGTTAGTTTGCAATTTATTATATATATAATAAAGATAATACTGATATTTTAAAAATATTCGGGCAGTTGTGTCAACGTGGTCGAGAAAGTGAAGATAAAAAAGTAGGATGATTTTTTTAGTCGAGATCATATGTTGATTTAACCTTTTGACCAAAAATATATGTTCGAGCAAGTTGAAAGTTGACCAAACAAAATTTGAATTTACCTATTATGAAAAGAAGACCACTTAAATACGAAAGGAACATAAGTCAATTGTTCAATTGTTCAAATGTTCAAATACGGATGGTTGAGAATGGAATATTTCATTGTATCCCAAATATCAAATAAATTTGTAAAATATACATAAAATAATAAAAACAACAAGAAATATGAGTCTTATTTTGTCAATCGAGCTTATTTGGTTAACGATCTATAATTCACGAGAGAAAAGAAGAGAAAAAAAATCTGTAGCTCATAACATCAAGCTTAATAACTATACATTCCAAATACAGGCTTCCTTCCGAACTCTCGAATTGACTCGACTCGAAGGTTAATAACTTTCGGCCACCATTTCCTAGCTCACATCTTTTGAGTACTTATTCCTTTTAGACAATGAAGCCGAGTTTGAAGGCTTCCTTGGCGAACCACTTAGAACTTTGGTATTTCAACGAAACTTAAGAACATCAATGGGCCAACTGCATCAAACATCCCTACCTCTTGGCTGCAGCTTTTGCTTATTGGTTGAATCATTTTAGTGGTCAATTGGTAACACACATGGCCAATTGAAGAGAGGAACGAGTACCAACAATTACAAGCTATTGGAAAGAGGAATGAGTACGGAATGAGTACCAACAATTACAAGCTATTGGAGAGAGGAATGAGTACAAGTGAAGACCCTGGTCCCAAAAGGGGTGAACGGATTGAAAAGAGGAACGGGTACCAACAAGGACGCTAGGTTTCAAAGAGAGTGGATTATGAGATCCCACATTAGTTGGAGAGAAAAACAAAACATTCTTTATAAAGCAAAGACGCTGACCCCAAAGGGGGTGAACGATTGAAGAGAGGAACAAGTACCAACGAGTACAAGCGATTGGAAAGAGGAATGAGTACCAGGGAAGACACTGGTCCCAAAAGGGGTGAACAATTGAAAAGAGGAACAGAGTACCAACAAAGACGCTGGATTCCAAAGAGAGTGGATAATGAGATTCCACATTAGTTGGAGAGAAGAAAAAAAAAAGGAAGCCAAGGACAATAAAACCTTGAAGGAAGCTCGAAAGGGAAAGTCCGACTTACGCCATTGCATGGTTAAAACTAGAAGCTATTCCATGGATCTATCAAATAACAACAAATTGAATAGCCACTTGTTTTCCTACCCTAAAGATGACAATGAGAGGCAAAAAGTACATAAATGAGTGATTCATAAGTGAAAATTCTACGGAATTAAACTATCTAAAGCTAATGATTTAAATACATGATCACCTTGAAGCCTTCAAACCAATCAGAATGCACAATAATCACAAGTGAGACCTTTTGAATCCAATCGTAATCAAAGTTGGTTCCACCGTCGTGTTATTCCACTGTATTTTAATTTATTGTGGGAGAATGTAATTCATGAACAGGTAGTAAAGAAGCAAATGCACAAGAACAGGAGAAGTAAAGAAGGAAATATGTTATAAAGTTGAAGGAAGGACCATCAAAGAGAAAGATCAGCCAAGTCAAAGGTTCTTGAAACAGCTTTGCACCATGATTCCACCTTCTTCTTCCTCAACTCTTCTTCTAATACAGGATGGAAGGTGGTTGCACTCTCAACCCTTTCTCCTGCACTAAAAATCTCATCTTCGGTCCAAACTCCAACTGCTAGTCCTGCTGCATAAGCTGCTCCGAGGGCAGTTGTCTCGATGTCGGCCGGTCGCACCACTGGACTTCCCAACAGGTCCGCCTACAGAAATGAGCAGGGTTAAAGAAGAACCATATCAAATTGTTAAAAGAGTGACAAAACGTGTACAGTGTGGAATAGGAGTATGAAACCTGAATTTGCATCAAAAGATTGTTGACAGTAGCGCCACCATCGACTCGAAGCAAGAATTCTCCTTTCTCGTTCTTCACCTCGCCCTTCTCTCGAGCATCTTTGTGCATTGAATCCAACACGTCCTTCACTTGAAAACACATACTCTCAAGCACGGCACGAGCAATATGAGCCTTGCTGGTAAACCTTGTGATCCCAATACAGACTCCGCGAGCATCGTCACGCCACCATGGAGCAAACAACCCATTAAAGGCAGGTACAAAATATATCCCACCAGTGGACTTAACCTGTGATGCCAATTCCTCGATCTCTTTCGCACTGCTAATAATTCCAAGACTATCCCTAAGCCACTGAACTGCAGCCCCAGCAATGGCAATGGAGCCTTCAAGAGCATAATTTGCTCGAGCATCCTTGCCAAGCTTGAATGCCAAAGTGGTTAGAAGGCCATGCTTAGACTGAACAACTTCTTCCCCTGTGTTGAGGAGTATAAAAGCACCTGTCCCAAATGTGCTTTTAGCCTCACCTTTCCTACAAGCTTGACCAAGCATCGCAGCATGTTGGTCGCCTAAACATCCCGAAATCGGAACGCCAGTAATCGGCCAACCCTGGACAATTTTCCCTATGACCTCAGAGTTGCTAACAATCTTAGGCAAGATTTGTGCTGGAATTCCTAGTGTTTCTAATGTAGGTTTGTCCCATTCAAGGGTCTTGAGGTTCATCAACATCGTTCGAGATGCATTAGAAACATCGGTCACATGTAATCCTCCATTGACACCACCAGTTAAGTTCCATATCAACCAAGTATCTATAGTTCCAAACAAAGCATCTCCCTTCTTTATACTTTCATTAACATCCTTCACATTTTCCATCAGCCAAAGCAGCTTCACAGCACTAAAATAGGTACTAATTGGCAGACCACAAGTACCCACAAAATGAGTTCTCCCACCAGATAATTCGTTCTCCAATTTTCTACCATGGAAGAACAAAAGGAATTTAAAATACTTCCTTCCAAATCCTTAGATGTATTTCAAGGAAAAAAAAAAAAACAAAATCCACTCAGAACAACGAAACTCAATCATATAAATCAAACGATGTTGCTGCAAACAGTATTAACCAAGAACACAGAATCTAAAAAATGCAATAAATTAAGAATCAATCCCCGACAGTCTGAGAGAATTTCACAGCAATTACAGGAACCAGTAACACAGGATACCTGCAAATAGCACTGGTACGAGCGTCCATCCAAACGATTGCGTTGTGGAGGGGAGAGCCAGTAGATTTGCTCCAAACCAGAGTTGTTTCTCTCTGATTGGTCAACCCAATCGCCTTCAGTCCATTGTCCACATTGTAACCCGCCGCGGTGGCCTTATCGACGGCTTTGGCCATACAAACCCTCACGCTCTCCAGAATTTCCATAGGATCATGCTCCACCCATCTACGGAGACAAAAATTAAATCAAACTCTCGAAAGTAATAACAGAGAAAAAATGGAAGGAAGGTAGAAGAATTAATGAGAATCCACCGACTCACCCCGCTTCTGGGTAGAACTGAGTGAATTCCACCTGGTGAGATCCGATCGGTCGAGAACAGCGATCGTAAATGATAAATCTGGTGCTGGTGGTTCCTTGATCGATTGACCCAACGAAAACATCCTCCGCCTTCGCCATTTCTTGGATTCTCCTCCTTCCCTTCGGAATTTCAACCCAAAATCTTCAATCCAAATAGAAATCGAAAACAGAGATGATGAACCACCGATGAAATCACCACTTTCTACTTCTTATTCTTCGCGTTTTTATTTTTGAAATGGAAATTGATGATTTCGATAAGATAATACCGAAAACGAAAAATAGAGTAATTTCGTTTGATTTTGTTTATTTATTTATTCCTTTTTCTTTTCTTTCCTAACAAACTCATCTATTAAGTTGTCAATTTGCATTATCCCTAACGTAATTAAAAAAAAAAAAAAAAAACTAATTTATAATCTATCTTGAGTTAAATTACTAATTAATTTTAATAATTTAATTTAAGTTATAATATTATAATCTAAAACAATTAAACTATTATTAAATTATCATTTACTTTTAGCTTGATTAGGTTTGCAACCAAACCTCCTATTATTTGAAGATTCCACCGAAAAAACGAGCATTTTATAGAACAAAAGATCCATAATGTTCGCAATACAAATAAGAAATTTATGGAGTGTCCAAGAAACATACCCCTCACTTATGGAAGGTTCGAGATTATCAATCTTCAGTCTTTCGTGTACCTGTTTTAGGCGAAGCCAATCCCACAGCTAAGATGGTTGCTCCAGACGAGTAAGTCGTGGATTCATTTCCTTAAATTTGCTCGTCCGCTCGACAATCTATGTTATAAATAAAGAATACAACAATTTTTTTAAAGTAAAGTTAAAAGACTTTTTTGCTTTAAAAAAAAAAAACAGACCTCCGTGATTCCTCGAAAGTTGGAAATTGGGATGGGGGATTTGCATTATCCAATAAAATTATCCAACAACCTTATTTTTTTTCTCTCTCCTGTCACTGCCAACTAATAAGAGTATTCATCTAAAATATAAAAATTAAATTGGATTATTTTTTTTTTAATTTGGATCGGGTTAAATTCTTAAAAATTAAAAGTTTAAATTAACGGGCGAGTTAACATTTTTGTTAGGTCAACCTAACAACTCGAAAATAAGGTTACGATCATATCCTATTTTTAAAATTATTAGGAAACTGATGAATATTTGACCTGTAGCTATGTTTTATGACTTGCCATGTTTGATATTTTATATATTAATATTATATGTATCCAGAAAAATATATTAACAAAAAAAAAAAAAAAAAAAA